AGCGCTCTGTAAAACGCACCAATCAGCGCTTTGCAAAATGCACTGATCTGCGCTCTATAAAAGGCACCGATCAGCAGGATTCTAAAAGTAGCCATTCCTGGGGAGGATTGAAAAAAGGGCACTCTGATAGGACAGAAACGGAACATGGGAGGGAACAATAAGGGAATAAAAGCTGGCCACGCCAGCCCCCAGCAGCAGCGGGCTGGTTGGATCCCTTTGTAGACTGGAGGTTTTGTTTTTTTGCTCTTCACTATAAACGTTGCTACAACTCCTTGTTTGGGCCCGTGCCATCTTTAAGAGCTGTAACACTTGACTGGGAAGGTCCGCCACTGAGTCTTTGCCATGTTTAAAAGCTGTAACACTCACTGCCAACGTTCACTGCTAAAGTCAGTGAGACCACGAACCCACAGGCAGGAACCAACTCCGGACACAATAGGTAATTTTTCATTTCTCATTCGCTGCCAACCCTCCTCTTTTCTGAGTTTAATGTCTATGATCCCACTCTATGCTTCTGCTTATCCGTAACTTATCTCCCACTTACAAGTGACAGCGTGCAGTGTTTTTCTGTTCCTGAGTTACTTCACTTAGGATAATGGCCTCCGGTTCCATCCAAAGTGCTGCAAAAGACTATTTTGTTCTTTTCTATGACTGAGTAGTATTTTGTGGTATATCTATATATAGATATATAGATATAAATATATATTTTGTGATATATATAGTAATACATATTTTGTGAGAGAGAGATATATATATATATACGCACACACATTTACTTTCTGTGCTTATTCCTTGATGGACACTTGGATTGATTTAATATTTCTGCAATTGTGAAATCTGCTGTGATAAACCTGGAAGTGAAGATGTGTTCTTGATATGTTGACTTTTTTCATTTGGGTGTATACCCAGTAATGGGATTCCTGGATTGAATATTAGATCTGCTTTTAGTTCATTGAGAAATCTTCATGCTGTTTACCGTACAGATTGTACTAATTTACATTCCTACCAAGGGTGTATATAAGCGCATTCCCTTTTCACCTCATCCACACCAATAGCTATTACTTATTGACTTGAATAATGGCCATTCTGACTAGGGTAAGGTGATATTATGATTTTAATTGGCATTCCCTGATGCTTACTGATGTTGAGCTTTTTTTCATATGTTTTTGGCAATTTACAAGTCATCTTTTGAAAAATATCTGTTCATTTGCCCACTTTTTAATGGGATTATTCATTTTTTTTCTGATTTTTTTAACTTGCCAAAATATGGTTTTTAGTTGATAAATAAGTTTAAGTAAATAAGGTGATAAATAAGATTTTTAGTTTATATACTTTTATGTTTACCCTTTGTGTTATAAAATTCTGTAAGATTTATTCATTTACTTTTATATGCATAAAGTCTGATTTTGAGCTCTCTTTTGTCGTCGTTCTTCATCTTTGTGTAAACAGCGTATTGACCTAGTTAGTGAGAGATTTCTGTTTAACACAAAAGGAACCAACTCCGGACACAATAGGTAATTTTTC